ATTGACTTTGCCTCGACTAACCACATCGTCGACTCTAGGGCAAGTTAAAGCGACTTCGACGGGTGGCAACTCGAGGCTCGAACGGGCACTTCGCCTCGACGATCAATAAGATTCGGCGACAAAAGGCGGCCCAGTTTGTACTTATCCGATTGTTTTCATGTTTGTTTTCTTCCTTCCTTTTTCTGTTTTCTCTCATTGTACTACGGCATTTCTTGATGCACGGGGCGCGCATCTTTGTTGGGTGAGGGAGGTGTTATGATCTGTCTTCCCCGGCAGCTCATAAAGTTCATTCTGCTCTTGTACCATTCTTGCGCAATTCTGTTATTGCACAACTCTTGTTTCATTCTTTCGTTTTCGTTTCCTTTCGCAGTGTGTTTTCCTAACTCTTTCTGTTCTTATGTAACTCATGCGCAACTCTTGCAAAACTCTTGTTTAACTTTTGTACTATATATAGCCGTTCATTTGCTTCAAATAAAGATATCGGAGTGAGAGTTGATTCTCACTATAGCTTCACTACTACGATTAGAGTTAGCCACTAGAGGATCTATATCCTCACAACACCTGAAGCACTTTTCAACGATTTATTTATTGATATTGAAATAACTAATAAAATATTGCCTGCTTGTTATGGTTATTTCAGTTCAAAATTGGTTCCACTAGAAACAGCTGTTGAGCCGATAGGAGATCGAGTACCGGATTTAGTTCGTTTTGCTAAACTGGCCAAAAAACATTGTACGTATCCGAATGACCATGGTCTAACGCAAGATGAATCGGCAGCTCTTTATCTCTGTACGATGGAAATGAGTGATGAACAAAGTTTTTATCATATGCTAAATCAAACTCTATGAGATGAAAATCGATCGGCATTGAAGCCATGGTTCCCGTATTTGAAACTGCTTGATACAGCTGTTAACAAACTATCGTCGACCAAGACAGTTGTATGGCGAGGGGTTGGGATAAACGTTAGTAATTTATTTCAAAGGCATCAAACAGTTACGTGGTGGAGTGTTAGTTCGTGTTCAGAATCGGTCAATATAATAAAAGCATTTCTTGGTAATGGCACTCAAAGTACTCTATTTAATATTGAATGTATCGATGGGAAGAAGATTTCACCATATATGTGTTATCCAGAAGAAAACGAGATTTTGCTCATGCCTGGTACGACACTGAAAGTTGTAAGTGATCCTCTAGATCATCATGGCGGTTTACGTATTGTTTATATGGAGTCTCTACTCATCGCCAAAAGTTCGAAAATTAAAGTTTGAATCGAAAAATTTCGAAATTATAGTAAAATGAGGAGGAGATTTTCCAAAGATCCTTCAGAAAAACCTGACCACGTGATACTTGAACTGTTTCAAACCCCTACGTTTGTAGTATTTTCAATGCTCTACTCGATGGCGAAAACCCGAGGTCTCTACCATTTTTCTGAGCCGAGTTGTTTAAGTTTTAAAAAAAATTGATTTTTTAAAATTCCAGTTTCAATTTAAAAATTCAAATTTTGAGTTAGAGACCCAAATTCTTTTTTAAATGTTTGTCGTTCGACGCTGATTCCGAATATGTAATTCAAAAAATTTTTTCGTCGCTGCGCTTCTCTACAAAAAATTTTCTCCAAGAATCGGTGTCTAAAAAACTAGGGTTTTCTGGAAACCGTACTTCCTGAGGTTTTAGCAAGTCCTTCTAAGAGACAAAAATGAAGAGCATAGTCTAAAACCTCTAAGGCCCAAGTTTCAGGATGATCGGACAGCCCGGAGCAAAGTTAGCCTGGACCAACATTCTTATGTAATACGCCTATTGTGAATGTTTTAGTATCAAGAATAGCCGGAAAACTCTAATTCTCGTAAAACTCTGTTTTCATCAGGTTTTCGGGTTCTTTTTCAAGAACAAGCATTGCAACCAGGTCAGGAGGAATCGGTTGCATATGCTGCCGACGATTCCAAGGTTATTCCAGTCATCAAATGTCAGTTCTAAGGTTCCAGTAAAACATACTACGCCCGGATCGCTAAAGATCAAGATCTCGCTTAACTCTCATTTTGAGGAGCACACTTTGTTATATCTATCCATGTCAGAAAGCTACTATACTGCTATTTTAAGTTTTAGAGAATTAGACTGGTTTTTCAAAGATTTTCTGATATTGCTTTCTAAAGAGATTTCAGAGTTTATTTTGTTTACAAAAGACGTCCTTCAGTTTCCTCTTTCGAACAGCAAAAAGCGCACCCGTCTATGTCTTTTGTTAAAAAGTTATTGGAAAAATATCCAGCGGCATTCTATTTTAAAAGTTATAGTAGCTACGCAAAAGAAAAATCCGAATTTTAAGAGAACAAAGAGACTGACGGTCGGGAAACTTTATTTCGTAATTCACCAATGTTAGCACTGTATAGCGTAATAATGGAAAAGAAATTTCATGGAAAGTCATATTTTTCGAAATCTTCACTCAAACCGTACAATACCAGCGCAATTTTCACATGTTTCATGTCACACGAGATCTAGGGTTTTGCAATAAAAGAGGAATATAGCACTATCCTACACACTTCTCTAATGTTTTTCACGAGTAAAATTTGTATAGCTGCTCTTTCACGAATGTATTTTACTCTTTTAAAGGCGCACATTCAACCATGGTTGGGTTGGATCTATGGCTGACGAGGGAAGGTCCCAAAGTGTTCCTTGGTTTTTTTCTTAGAATATATATGGTTACAGAAAATTTCGATGTTAATCACGGATCTGATATATGTTTGTAACCATATGGCCCTTTGCAGTTTTCATATACGCTACGATATATGGAACTTTTAAACAAAGGTTATTTTTAGGTAGGAGACGTGTTAGAGAATGTGTCTCCAGACTTAGTGTGCAAAATTACTTTTTTTGTATACTGAGAAAGACAGATGCAGACTAACGAAGTTTCGTTGATTTCGTTGCATTATGTAGTTACATTAAATAATGTTTCTGTTGGGTTGGAGTCTTAACATGTTCGAAAGGAACATTGTTTCCCGCCAAGTTCAGTCGGAAAATTTCATTAATCCCGTTCATAGTTTCACCAAAACGTTTCTTCAAAACAAATCGATAGAAAAGGTCAATTTTTTCTGAAGAACGTCACTTGTTCGTGAATGAATATAAAACATTTTCCGAAAGCGACCATTTTTTGACAGAACAAGCGAAAGAAACGAAGAAAGAAATTTTAGGGTCTTTTTGCCATTTTATCTTTTTTTACTAGAGAAATCATTATAGGCGGGTAATTTCAAAGTAATTTCGATTTTGAGAATTTTTTCCGATACTTCACCTATTCAAGTCGACAATGTGGATCTTCTTGTAAAGGGAAAATGGAAAAAGTTAAAGTTATGAGAAAACTCAATTCATTTTTTAACAGAAATTAGGTTAACGCGTGTCAGGTGCTGATCAAAAGTTCATGGAAAAATTAGAACTAACTCTCAACATAAGTGCTTATCATCAACTATGAATAGATGAAGAAAAATATTGTCTACGTGATATGCAAATAGCTTATATACGAGTATTCTCGTCTGCCGCCCGAACCTGATTTCTATGATGAAAAACAGAAACCGCCGTCTGAATGGCCAACGAAAGGAAAAATCGAATTTAAAAACTACAGATTTTCTGTCGGCTAACATGCTTGTACGTATAGGTGTCCGCATCTACGAGTCAATGTTAAGTTCGGTCTAAGCAGCTGAAGTTTTTTCATATCTCATTTGTACGTCATAGAAACACTAGCTGAGCGTAAAGCGAATGTGAAAAAAATGTACAATTGGACTAGACCTCACGTTTCATTGAAATTAATTATCTCTCATTTACATACCGGTCTGACGCATGCGAATAAAAGCCAAACGACAGAATTGACCACTGGATTCTCGGTAGCAAAAGCCACTTGTGGCGAAGATAATTTAATTTTTAAAGCAACAATTATTTTTTCAGAAGAGCATAAGACATGCCGCCTCTGTAGATTATGAAAATCAGTTTTGTATTTCCCTTTTAATTTAAAATTACTCAGAAAAATGCAGATCTTTAATATTATATCTACTCAACTGTTATTTATGCAAATGAAATTGATCAGCCACTTTATCATAAAAGTATATAAATTGTAAATCTGTTCGATTGACAATAAATTCCGAATAACCGGAAGACGCGTTATCTTTTAGAGTGTTGGGGCTGTTGAAAACGGTCATTGATTAATCTGATTAAAAAGGAATCTGTTGTGTTGAAAACCGATTCTGTCTGTCTCTGTGTAAAAAATACTTAAAAATCTGTATTATACCTTGTACATTTGATCCGGGACCGGTTCCACTGCAAGTGACAAAAATCCGTTCAAACGCTGACAGTTACAGTATCTCATTATTCTACTTTTACACTTACGCTGCTGCAGCTCCATCAGCACTGCCAGCTTCTGGTAAATCGTTTGCCAATTGAAAAACTATTAGTATACATTGAAGTGTATGAAAAACATAGTGTTTTTCGTTTTAGAGAAATAAAGCACTGTTAGAGTGCAGAAGTAAAAAAGTTGAACAGAAAAATAGTTTTTCGATGAGAGAGCTTATAGCACCCAGAAATTCAAGGGAAAAAAGACGAAAGTTGTGTTTGGCGGTTTCATTTTCGTTTTCAGGAAAAGAAGGAATTTCCGCACTAGTCCAACAAGAGAGGGTCAAATTAATGAATAATTGAGCTAAGAATGAGTACCCCAATATAGAAAAGTTTTCACGTGGAGGCTTTTAAAGAGAAACATACAAATAAAAGTAAATTCGGGCGGAAAATTTTTAAAATTGGCCCGTAACAAATTTACAAGGCTGGTCTGTCACTAATTTTATTCTTGTTTAACGTTTTCTTGGTTCTTTTGTTTTTGATTATTAATGTTCTGCTCTGTTTCATTGATTAATTTTTGAATTTCAGCCATTTTCTCATTCTGTTGATCATATATTTTCTTATAAATGTCAAGTGTTTTTCTAAGAAATTCCAGAGCTAGTTCATATTCGTATTTCTTTAAGTAAACATTGGCAATATTACGTGTACATAATGATAAATCTGGATGGTCTTGTGCTTATATTGAAGGTTTTATAAAAATAGTGTAGTCCTTCATCGTAATTGTTCTGCTTTACATGAATTTGACCAATAAAATGATAACATTTTGCTATTTCTCGGTGGTCAGCATCATCACCAATTTTTTTTTTATATATGCTTAATGCCTGTTGAAAATAGTCAGCAGCTCTGTCACAATCTTCTAGATCTAAATACACTTCGCCGATATTTTTTAGCGTGTATGCACGATTGGTATGATTCATGGAGAGCGTACTTTCGATCATATCTAGTGCCTGCTTATAATAATCAAGTGCCGCGGTATAATTCTTTGTACGATAGTTACATTTGCCAAGATGATTTAAAGGAAAGGCTCGACGTTGGTGTTTATTAGGCCAAACTTTTTTGTATATTTCTTCTGTCTCGCTAAGATACGTTATAGCTTTTGCATAATCGCATTTTTTATAATAAACTTTGCCGATATTATTTAATATAGCACCGAGGTTCGAATGGTTATCAGACAAAACCTGTTTAATTATTTGTAATGATTGAATCTGATATTTTAACGATTCATCATATTGGCCCATGTGACGTAATGCAAGAGACATAGCGGTTAAGACACTCACTAAATGTGGATGATCTGACGGGATTAGTTGCTTTAATAATTCGTATGCTCTAACTGCATAACTGAATGACATCGTGTCTTTACCTTCGAAACAATATAAGTCTGCCATATCTCTCAAAATATCAGCGACTTGCCTGTCACTGCTATTTCCAATTTTATTTCGTTCAAGAATCTCTAAACCTTCTGATAAACATTTATGTGTCAAAACATACTCTCCGTTGAATCTGTGTACATTTCCCATATATTGTAATACTTTGGCAACTAATAAATAGTCAGATTTATCACTTAAATCGTAAGCTTTTTGATAGTTCGTTAACGCAGCAGCGTATTCCGATTTAACATGATGAGCACGGCCGATGCCTTAAATGAACAAGAATAATATATGCTTTGATCGAACAGAGATGAATTGGAGACGAAGATAAAAACTTACCTAAATACACCTGGGCATCATCGGGTCGAGTGATTATCAAGTTTTCGAAATACTTTTGTGATTTATTATATTCTCTCATATCATACAATAGATCTCCAAACAGAATAACTGAATCAGCATTCTTCATTTCATTTTTTCGAAAAGTGACATATTCCTTCGCAACTTCTACGCCCTTTGCTGAAACCTTCATTTTGCATGTCGAATACTTATCCGTCATGTTATAAATCACAGATTCAATTTCAAATACTGCCCCAAGATCAAATAAAACCTCTTCTTCATCATAAAATTGGCTGAGATAACTAATATCAGCTAAGATGCAATTTATTTGCTCTTTCAGATCAATCTCAATTTCAAACAGCAACGATTCGTAATTATTACTGATGGGTGCTACGCTGGTGGTATTAGTATTCGTCGCAGGATTGGCTTCAATCCCAGCATAAAATTGTGCTACGCTGTGACGTCTCGTAGTAGAAAAAAAGCCATTCATTGAAATTAAACTGCCAACATTATCCTAAAAAAACAAGAGTGTAACTTTTCGGCTAACAATGCAAGACAGAGCTTCTCCGGGTAAGGCCAGCCCCGTATCGCTCTTGAGCGCGATTAGACGTGTTAGTTGATACTGTGCATGGCACCACCAAAGGCAGCGAAAGATGCTCTGATTTACGCCGCCAACAGGGAAAATTGCGAAAAACACACGTTGTTTCAAAAAGTTGTCCGCATCTACGAGTCAATGTTAAGTTCGGTCTAAGCAGCTGAAGTTTTTTCATGTCTCATTTGTACGTCATAGAAACACTAGCTGAGCGTAATTACAAAGCTAAATGTTAACTTTTGGGACAGCAGAAAATTACACTGTACCTTCCATGTACACATACGATATGCTGATTATACAGCTATTAGTGCCAGTTCGTCCTGCAGGATCATACCTTAGAATCGAATTCGTAGCGGTCGATCAAGATCATTGCCATATGGAACTGGCTTTCCTTGATACGATAAGAAGAAGAAGTTGACATTGGGGAAAGGATCCGCCCTACAGGCGCGATTATAAAAACTGGCTGCTTTGCCTAGTCGGTACAAAAAGCATAATCTAAATGGTTCCCACTGAATGTACCTAAAACAAAGAAACTCACTTTCAGTCTTTGTATATCGTCTTTTGTTTGTTTCACACCGCGATATAATTTCAATGGCTCTGGTGTATAATCTTTTAGGTCTTGGTAGTTTTCCATTAGAGCCGCACATAGATCAACAATGTAAAAACGAAATGTGTATAAAACTTCTACATCTTCAGTTCTTAACGCTTTATTGATAATTTTGTATATAAAACTATCTTTGGTATACCACCGTATAGCGTCTGAAGAATTATATGATTTTTCGAACTGACGTATATTTTCAAGTTCTTTTTTGTTATTTCGATAATATTTAAAGCAATTGTCCAGCATTTCTTGTCGGCCATGCGCTATGACATCTGACGGCATACTTTGTAATGCATCTTTTAATAGTCGATACCATATGAAAGTAGCGGCTTCTGTTGTTAAATTACGTGCAACTTTTTGTGTATGGTTATACAGGGAAAACACAGTTAATTGCTGTTCTAACAATTTTATAGTTTTTCTGATACTCTGTAGCAATGAGTCTTGCTCAGTGCAAATATCAATCACTTTGTTATAACAGGAATTCGATAAAAGACTTTCATATTTATGTTTTTCCATACAGAATATGAATATCGAGTCAATTTGACGTAAAAGATGGCACTGTTGTAATAATTCATTGTTATTAGAGACAGATGATGATCCAGAAAGAACCAAGATAATCTTTTCATGTTTAACATTTTTTATATAATTCAGACATTCATCTTTTTCGGTAAAAAATAGCACGAAATTATTCACTTCTTGAAGCGATTCTTTCGTTAACTTTGAATCAGTTGTCATTGTTGTTGAATTCATATTGAGATCTAACCATAATAATGTTATATCTTCTATATTCTCAAATGTAGTTTTTTCTACTTCATCTTCATTGTCAACTTTTTGTCTTTTAATACGTGTTAATTCTTCATTCCCTGCCTTAGATTTACTACTTTGATTCTTGATACAAGAGCTGGTGGTTGTAGAAGCCATGTCTAAATTTCGGACCTATTTCGTACTGCGAATGTAGTATGTATGAGAATGTTGACTAAGCTTAGCATCGTGTTTTTATATTGTTCGTGTATGGGGAAAATGGAAAGAAAAAAGGAATACTTGGTTTTTTCCAACCTGTACTTATTTAAATTTTCTTTAATGAGTTAATATATGAGTCACTTGCAGCTTTATTATACAATCTAGTTTTTGCCGTATTTTTGAACTTACTTTGGTTTTTGGAAACGGATTTCGCAATTCTTTTTTCTGTTTTATGGCTTATCCCTTGCTTCACTACCACAGAAAATCCCAGCTCGATATTTCAATAACTCACCCAGATAAACCCATCAAAAGTCGATAAAACCTGTTTTTAGATGGCTTATTGAGAAAAAAGTAAGTTTTTCTAACAAAAGAAAGAATGAAAAGCAAAAAGCAAATAGTAGGTTTTGTAGAGCAATTAATGCTCTATCAAACTGTGTGCCTTCATGCTTGTTTTGTTTTTTTATTTATGCTCGTCTATGGCGAAAATTGTTTTACAGGCAACTCGTATACTGACGGTTTTTTCTTGTACCGCTTTTCTTGTACCGGTTTTTTCTTGTTATATAGACTGCCAATAACAAAAAAAAAAGGTGAATGTGTCAAAACGGTTTACTGATGGTTTTTTCTTGCACCGCGGTCTGAAAATAACCGTATGGTAACCGCCAATAGAAGAAAAACCCGTCGCTAAATCGGTAGTTGTATCGCACGGTACGGTTAACCAGTGGTAATCTATAGGCCGGTCGGTAACCGGCGGTATTACGAAAAAAAGTGCGGCATGGGTTGGTTGTGTAAGTTGAAAAGATATCTATCTCGAGGCCGACAAAGTCTATTCAGTTGAATTCTAACTGATTTGACGTGAGAATACTTAAGAGTAAAAAAGTATGTGAGAGCGTTACTGAAAATGTCACAGCGCTACTTTAGTAAATTGGGTTTTATAAACAAAGTAAAGGGTTCTGAAAAAATTCCTTTTAGGAAAAGAAAGCTCGTTAGTTCCTCTATAAACCTTGCTCGAGACACTTTTTATTAGCTCTTGTTCCCGCCCTCCCCGCCTCACACCGTGATCAAAACTTTTGGTCAGCCGTAAGTATATTCTGATAGCACTGGAAATTCTCTATCGTCCTATATATTTGTCTACTGTCTTGCATTTATCTATTGCAAAAATAACTTGAGTACAATGAAGACATCCTCAATTGATAAGCGTGCCTGCATGATAGTCAAATTATTTTTCAGCACAGAAATGCAAGATAGAACAAAAATATACAGGATGATAGAGAATTTGAAGCTCTATCAGAATGTTTAATTCGTTTTAGAAAGATTTATTTCCATGGTATCTATAATTTGAAAAAGCATAAAAAATATCGAATTTTCGTACTTGTCAATTAAGGGTATCTTCATTGTACTCAAGTTATTTTTGCGATAAAAAATAAAAAAATGCAGGACAGTAAACAAATATATAGGACGTTAGAGAAATTCAAGCGCTATCACAATATACTTAGAGCTGATCAAAGGTTTTGAATACGGTGTGAGGGGAGCGAGCATCATCGTTCTACGAACTTTTGGTCAATCCTAAGTAGAAATTACTAAAGCTTTATTATACATACTATTGCATTTAACATTATCATTCAATTCAAATTTATTTAGTTCAATTAATAATGTTGTACAATCAATGTTTACTTTAACTCTAAATATTAATATTGAAAATGAAACAACATTCTTGTATAATTGCCTCAAGTTAGGATATTTACAAACAATAACGAAATCAACCCAGTAACTTTGAATAATATTAATAGAAAATCGATCTGGCTTAAAAGAATTTTGTGATGAATTAATTAATCGTTGAAATTTAACCGTACAAATCTGTCTTTTTAGTGTTTTTAACTCATTTAAATTTAAAAGACCTCATGGATAGTTTGCGCTTGCAGCAAACCCAAATTCAACAATTTTTCACATACTACAGCACTTCCTACACCCACATACATTTTGCACATTTTTATGCACCCCACACAATTCCATCCAACTCAAATGCTTTTTCATATTTCCAAACACTACATACATTTCCCCCATCCGATACATATCCATACATTCTACCCACCCTGAAAATCATATACATTTCATATGTTTTCATACCTCCTATACATTTCCAAACATATCCTGCACCCTATAGTTCTCATACATCCCATACATCTGATCTTGATTTCGGCACTGATCACGTACGGCTGACTTGTTTGATACACATTCACAGCCAACTCCCCTCCCCTCCCCCCCTGAGCACACACGGTTTCAGGTTTCCATTAGTACGAATATATACGAAGACGTATGAGATGTATGGGATGTATGAAATGTATGGAATGTATGTAAATGTAAGAAAACGTATGAGGTGTGTAGGATGTATGAAAGTGTATGAGATTTGTGAAATGGATGAAACGTAATGGAGTGAATGGAAGTGTATTAGATATGTGAACTATAGAATAGCTCCATAATCTAAGGGAAGTTTACTGTTTCAAAGGGTAAAGAAGTTTCAGAGGTGATTGCCGCAATATGAAATTATTTCACGAGTTTTGAGTTTGCAGCAAAGGGAAACTATCCATCCTGTGATTTAAAATAACTAACGAACAAAACTTATATATTGAAAATGAAATATTTATTAAACAAAAATCAACTAACGAATTAATAATACCGCATATTCCTAAAATGGCACGAAAACAAAAAGAAACAAATGTAAACAAAGATTCCTCATGTGATATTGCCATTGAAATTTACGATTATCTAATTTTATTAAATTTATAGGAAAAGGCAATAAACTTATATAAAAACTATACTGTGAAAATCAAAATTAAAATGATATAAAAATCGCATAGAAATCGAATAAATACTTGCACATAAATGATGCTAAGCTAATGCCATAGAAATGACCTTGAACTGAGCATTATTGAATAATCATTTTATGATCATTTCGGCGTCATTTAGGCATGTCTTGAAAAATGAGCTAGATAATATGTTAAAATGATCATAAATACGGCATAGAGGGTCATAGAAATATGGTCTTAAAATGATACAGTTATGATCTAAAACGAGATGATCATCGCAAGGTTATATTTAGTCCATTTTTCTTTCTATGATCTTAAAATGATCATAATTAGATCATTTTCAAAATGATCTTATGATGACCATGAAATGATGCTATTTCTACATCATTTTTAAGCAGTCACATGATCATTGTAACGTGATTCAATATTTAATAATACCTTATTCAATATTTGAATGAGCCATTTATGAGCAATAAATGACATAGGCTTAAAATCACGTTACAATGATCATGTGACTGCTTAACAATGATGTAGA